TCCTCTTTCTTCTTTCCTCTCTCTGATATATTTTTAGTCCTGTTTCTCTCTTAGAAAATCTAAGCCATAAGATCATCTGCCAAGATGGGTTTGGCAATAGGGATAAAGTGTTTAAGTGCCCTACCACTTTTCCCAGGGAATGGTAAGAATTCTTGATATATAAGAAAGTGTGTTGTTCACTGATGTGTAAACAGGGAAGGTCAGGCTTTCTGACAACATTTCTGCATCTCAGGAAGCTAAATTAAATAAATGTTTAAAAAAAGAAAAGTAGGCTTTTCTCATCTTAGAAGTATTTCTACTTTTCCCTGCAGTACAGTACATAATTACAAAAGTTGGTTGAAGTAGTATAAATGGGGCATTATTATGCCTTTTTAATTTATGCCGGAACTGTATATCTGTTCAAGTTTCTAAAGTGTATGCAGTCAATTTATCTTACAAATAATATCTCTGTGATTCAGGAGCAATAATTACATTTTCTAATTCCTTGTACTGGCCATTGGAAGATATTCAGACATTTATTCATCTATTTAATAAATATGTATTGAGAGGACCCCTATGACATCTCCCCACATCTACCCAGAGGGCTGCAGTGTCATGGCACCAGCTGGACACAGAGAGGCAGCATCATTGCTGGCAGTTGAGCCTAGTCCGCACCCTATATCCTAGAAAACAGATGGTCTAGCACATCAAGAATGCTACCTCTGGTACATTAGAAACCCAAGCATGTGCCCCTCAGAAGCTGAGCGCCGCCTTCCCAGAGTTACCAATATTGATGACAACCCTGCCCACAGGGATGGGGACATCGGGGACCTGAGGAGATGCCCACCAGGGGTCCTACTGTTGCTACTGCTGGCACTTACATGTACCACCCAGGGGCACAAAGACTAGCCTTCCTGTATCCCTGTCTGCACCCCACAGCCTCTACAAATATCTGTAGCCTGAGCCACTGAGGAGCTCACAGACACCACTTACATTGATTACAGCTAAAGAAACCATACAGAGATTACCCTACTGCACCTACTCAGAACCAAAGCCAAAGTACCTCACCTAACCAACACAATAGACATGTCTACAGGAAAAAGTCCCCATAAAAGCTTTCCCTATGAAAGCTACCCCATAAAATTGTAAGTAGTGGCTGTTATACCAGACATGCAGATATCAATGTAAGAACACAAAAAATATAAAAGCAAGGAAACATGCTGCCTCCAAAGGAAAACAATAATTTGCCACTGACAGACCCCAAACACAGCAAAATATATGAGATGCATGAAAAGGAATCCAAAATAATAATTTGAAAGAAATTTAGTGAAATAAAAGAGAAGATAGATAATACAACAATATCAGAAAACAATTCATTATACGAATGAGAAAGTCAACCAAGAGACAGATATTATAAAAATAGAACCAAATAGAAATCTTAGAACTGAAAATTCCATGAATAAAATTAAAAATACAAACAAGAGCTTCAACATTAGACTAGATTGAGTAGAAGAAAGAATTTCTGAACTTGATGACAAGTCTTTTGAAATAACTCAATCAAACCAAAAAAGGAAAATAGAAACATGAAAATAGAAAGCTTATATGACATATGGAACATTATTAACCCTTTTCCCATTTGCCCCAAGAATACTTGCCAGCAATATTTGTGGTTGCAGCATTTACTCTGAGACAATTTTGCCATGAAGTATCTCACTTTTATTATTATTTTTGCATCACTCTATTATATTAACTTTGGAAACAAAAGACATCATTTTCTTTATAGCATTCTGTTTTTAGTAGTAGTGTTTCCATTTACAAAATATAGTAATTCTTGATTGTTTAAAATGTCAAATCCTAGAAAATGGAACATTCCTATGTGTGATGTTAACATTGTTCTCTAACAGTTGTTAGCCAAAGATTCATTTGTTGGATTTCCAAAATAGATGATTTTGATTATTCAGATGATTCTGACATAGTTCTGTTTAGAAATATAACTCAAAGAGCAGTTTTTACATTTTATTTTCACATTGAAAATCAGTCAGATTTGCTTCAGCCTAAAGAGTATGTCTATATAAAATTAAATGAGCACTGGCAGAAAGTTGCACTTTTTTTTTTCTAAATGGGAAAAATGTTGAGTAAATAAACATTCACATTTTGAGAGTTCCAAGAGTAGAAAAGATACAAAAATGCAGATTCCAAGAGTAGAAAAGATACAAAAACTTATTTAATGAAATAACAGAAAATTCTCCAAGTCTTTGGATAGATATAGACATCCAGATACAGGAAGCTCAAAGTACCAATATAGACTCATCCCAAAAGGCCTTCTTTGAGGCACATTACAATTAAACAGTCAAAAGTTTAACTTTGGAAAAGATAAACAAAGATTTATGAAATCAGCAAGAGAAAAACTTTAAGTCACATGTAAAGGGATCTTCATTAGACTAACAGATTAGACTCAACAGAAATCTTGCAGGCCAGAGGAGAGTAGAATTATATATTTAAAATGCTGAAAGTAAAACAATAAAACTTACAGACAAGAATACTATACCCAGCAAAGCTATCTTTCAGAAATGCAAGAGAAATAAAGGCTTTTTCAGGCAAGGAAAAACTGAGGGAATTCATCACCTTTAGTTGGATCCTACCAGAAATGCTTAAGCAAGTTCTACATCTGGGAGCAAAAGGATGACATATACCATTATAAAAACATATGAAAGTATAAAACTCACTGGGAGAGTAGATACACAAATAAGAAACAAAAGGAATCAAATGTTTTTACTATAGAAAATTATCAACCCCCAAAAATAAACAATAGGAGAGAAAGAAAGGAACAAAGGACCTGCAGAACAATCAGAAGACAATTAGCAAAATGACAGGAGTAAATCCTCATTGATCAACAATAACTTTGAATGGAAGGTTTAAATTCGTTAATTAAACATTATAGAGTGGCTGAATAGACAAGAAAACAAGCCCCAACTATATACTGCCTACAAGATATTTATTTACCTGTAAAGCCACACTTAGACAGAAAGCAAAGGGGTGACAAAAGATATTCCACACAAATGAAAACCAAAAGCATGCAGAAATAGCCATACTTTTATTAGACAAAATAGACATTAAGTCAAAAAATATAAAAAGAGGCAAGTTATATAATGATAAAGGGATCCATTTAGCAAGAGGCTATGACAATTGGAAATGTACATGAATCCCACATCAGAGCAGCAGACTAGCAAATATTATTAGGGCTGAAGAGAGGGATAGATACCAATACAATACTACTTGGGGACTTCAACACCCCACTTTCAGCATTGGACAGATAATCTAGGCAGCAAATCAACACAGAAACATAAGACTCAACCTGCACTATAGACCAAATGGACCTACAGAATATTTCATCCAGCAGCTAGAGAATGCACATTCTTCTCATTGGCACATGGAACATTCTTCAGAATACACCATATGTTAGATGACAAAAAAGTCTCAACAAATTTTTATTTTTATTTATTTAATTTTTTTGAGACGGAGTCTCACTCTGTCACCCAGGCTGGAGTGCAGTGGCACATCTCGGCTCACTGCAAGCTGCGCCTCCCAGGTTCACGCCATTCTCCTGCCTCAGCCTCCAAAGTAGCTGGGACTACAGGCACTCGCCACCATGCCTAACTAATTTTCTGTAATTTTTTTTTTTTTCTTAGTAGAGATGGAGTTTCACCATGTTAGCCAGGATGGTCTCTATCTCCTGATCTCATGATCCGCCCGCATCGACCTCCCAAAGTGTTGGGATTATAGGTGTCAGCCACCGCACCCAGCCAAGTCTCAACAAATTTTTAAAACTCAAAATCATATCAAGTATCTTAGAACACAATTGAATAAATCTAGAAATCAATAACAAGAGGAACTCTGGAAACTGTACAAATACGTGGAAATTCAGCAACATGTTCTTGAATCACCAATAAGCCTACGAAGAAATTAAAAAGGAAATGAAAAAATTTCTTGAAACAAATGAAAATAAAAATACAACATACCCAAACCAATGGGATGCAACAAAAACAGCACCAAGGGGTTATAGCAATAAATGCCCACATTATAAAAGTAGAAGTATTTCAAATATAAACAACCTACTTATGAACCTCACGGAATGAGCAAAGAAAATACTAAACCCGAAATTAGTAGAAGAAAGGAAATAATAAAGAGCAGGCCAGAACTAAATAAAACAGAAACAAGAAAGCAACAAAAAACTCAATGAAATAAAAAATTGGTTTTTTGAAAAGTTAAATCAACAAACCATCAGCTAGACTAGGAAAAAAGAGAGATGATCCAAATAAATAAAATCAGAAATGAAAAAGACATTATAACTGATCACAGAAATACAAAGGATCATTAGAGACTATTATGAATGATACTGCATGACTATCATATGTCTATATTGTATGAGTTTTATATGCTGACATATTGGAAAACCTAGAGGAAACAGATAATTACTGGACACATATAACCCACCAAGATTAAATCAAGAAGAAATAGAAAACCTGAACAGACCAACAATGAGTAACAATATTGAATCAGTAGTAAAACGTCTCCTAACAAGAAAAATTCCGGGACTGAATAATTTACTGCTGAATTCTACCAAACATTTTAAGAAGAACTAACACCAATTCTTCTCAAACTCTTGCAAAAAATTGAAGTGAAGAAAATTTGTCTTAATTCATTCTATGAGGCCAGTTTTACCCGGAAACCAAACTAGATAGGGACACAATTAATGAATGCTACTGGTCAGTATCCCTGATAAACAATAGATGCAAAAATCTTCAACACAATACTAGCAAACCGAATCTCATAGCACATCAAAAAGATTATACATCATAATCAAGTGGGATTTATCCCAGGGATGCAAGAATGGTTCAACACATGTAAACTAATCAACAGAATGAAGGATTAAAAACCCTATAGTTGAAGATCCCGACAGGCCCAGCGGCTAGGAGAGTCACGTGAGGGTGGGCGGAGGAGGTGGAGGGTTGTCTCCGCTGTTTCATCTCTATGGCTGTCAGAGGTGGGCGGCTTTGACTGAGGAGCTGCTGGAGCTCGTGCTTGGACGCGTGAGTCTCAGACTCTGGAGGGATGTTTCGTCTGAACTCACTTTCTGCTTTGGCAGAACTGGCTGTGGGTTCTCGATGGTACCATGGAGGATCACAGTCCATCCAGATCCGGCGAAGATTAATGATGGTGGCTTTCCTGGGAGCATCTGCAGTAACTGCAAGTACTGGTCTTTTGTGGAATAGGGACCATGCAGAATCTCCACCATGTGTAGACAACCTAAAAAGTGACATTGGTGATAAAGGGAAGACTAAAGATGAAGGGGATGTTTGTAACCATGAAAAAAGACTGCAGATCTTGCACCTCATCCAGAAGAGAAAAAGAAGAAACGTTCTGGATTCAGAGACAGAAAAGTGATGGAATATGAGAATAGAATTCGAGCCTACTCCACACCAGACAAAATCTTCCGATATTTTGCCACCTTGAAAGTCATCAGTGAGCCTGGTGAAGCAGAAGTATTTATGACGCCAGAAGATTTTGTGCGATCCATAACACCCAATGAAAAACAACCAGAACACTTGGGTCTGGATCAATATATAATAAAACGTTTTGATGGAAAGAAAATTTCCCAGGAACGAGAAAAATTTGCTGATAAAGGAAGTATATTTTACACCCTTGGAGAATGTGGGCTCATATCCTTTTCAGACTACATTTTCCTTACAACTCTTCTTTCCACTCCTCAGAGAAATTTTGAAATTGCCTTCAAGATGTTTGATTTGAATGGAGATGGAGAAGTAGATATGGAGGAGTTTGAACAGGTTCAGAGCATCATTCGCTCCCAAACCAGTATGGGTATGTGCCACAGAGATCGTCCGACTACTGGCAACACCCTCAAGTCTGGCTTGTGTTCAGCCCTCACAACCTACTTTTTTGGAGCTGATCTAAAGGGAAATCTGACAATCAAAAACTTCCTCGAATTTCAGCGTAAACTTCAGCATGATGTTCTGAAGCTCGAGTTTGAACGCCATGACCCTGTGGATGGGAGAATTACTGAGAGGCAGTTTGGTGGCATGCTACTTGCCTACAGTGGGGTGCAGTCCAAGAAGCTGACCGCCATGCAGAGGCAGCTCAAGAAGCACTTCAAAGAAGGAAAGGGTCTGACATTTCAGGAGGTGGAGAACTTCTTTACTTTCCTAAAGAACATTAATGATGTGGACACTGCACTGAGTTTTTACCATATGGCTGGAGCATCTCTTGATAAAGTGACCATGCAGCAGGTGGCCAGGACAGTGGCTAAAGTGGAGCTCTCAGATCACGTGTGTGATGTGGCGTTTCCACGCTTTGTGATGGCAATGGTGAGCTGAGCAATAAAGAATTTGTTTCCATCATGAAGCAATGGCTGATGAGAGGCCTGGAAAAGCCTAAAGACATGGGTTTCACTCGCCTCATGCAGGCCATGTGGAAATGTGCACAGGAAACTGCTTGGGACTTCGCTTTACCCAAACAGTAACCCCACACTGCAAGAGGGGACCTCTCCACCCCCAGTACCCCGGATCCCCTCCGCAGAGTCTCAGCAGAGCCCTTTGTTCTGCTACTTCTGGAAGTAGTGTCCCTTCCTTCCGGGGATGACCTCAGGACTCTGTCGGTTTCCTCTCTTCACCCTTCCCCGTCCCCGTGTTCTGCTGGGCTCTGATTCTGCCCGATGATTATCCCCATAGGTTCTCAAAAACATGAACAAGTCTGAAAAGCTCAGACATTTGGCAGCCTAAACAGCACTACCCATTCAAGCACCCGGTGGATAAAGAATGCGGGGAACCATCCACACACCTGCCAACCCTGGGAAGCATCCAGTTCTCAAATCGTTTTTGCTATGGATTTATATTAACAAGAACATTCCTTGCTTTCCCTCCTGCTGGTATTTTAAAGCCACAAGTAGGGAAGATATCTGGTAGGCAGAAAGAAGTCTGTGATGATAAATGAGGATGAGGATGACCTAGGCACCCTACGCTAGCGTGGCCCCAGGAAGGATCTGTGTTAGTCCCTGGGATGGCTCCGAGGTCTGCTCTAGGAAGGCAGCATGCTCAGTGGGAACACAGCAAGATTCAGAATTTAAAGTAGTTGCTTCATGGCTCTCTGCACTCTCTTTTCTTCCTCGCAGCCTCCCTAAGATGACTCCAGTGTGACTCTGTGCTTAGTGAGCAATAGTGATTGAGCTCATGTTCCCTGCAAAAGCCGCTTCCCCTCCAGGATGGGCCTCTAAAGCTGAGGCCTGGCTGGGAGGCTGTTTGCCCTCTGTCTTAAACAAACACTTGTAAAATACCCCTTTAATTATAACCGTTTGCAATAAGCATCTCCCCCCCCCCAAAAAAAACCCTATAGTTATCTCAATTGATGTAGAAAAAGCATTTAATGAAATTTAACATCCCTTTATGATAAAAACTCTCAACATATTATGTATAGAAGAAACAAATCCCAACACAAAAGCTATATATGACAAACCCACAGCTACCATCATACTGAACCAGAACTAGAACAAGACAACAATATCTACTTTTACCACTCCTATTCAGCATGGTACTAAAAGTCCTAGCCAGAGGAATTAGGCAAGAGAAAGAAACAAAGAGCAATCAGATTGGAATAAAAGAAAGTCAAATTGTTCCTCTTGGCAGATGACATGATCTTATATGCAGAAAAACATCAAGACTTGCCCAACATCTCCTAGAACTGATAAACAAATTTAGTAAAGTTGCAGGATACAAAATCAATATACAAAAATTAGTAGAATTTCTGCATGCCAATCACAAGCTAGCTAAAAAAGAAGTCAAGAATGCAATCTCATTCATAATAGCTATAAAAAATAAAATATTAAGAAATAAATATAACCAAGGAGGTGAAAGATCTCTATAATGAGAAATATAAAACACTGATTAAAGGAATGGAAAGGGACACAAAAATGGAAAGTCAACTCATGCTCATGGATTAGAAGAGTGAATATTGTTGAAATGTCAATACTGCCCAGAGTAGTTTACAGATTTGCTAGGAATTGATAAGGATTTCTATCAAAATACCAATGGCTTTCTTCACATAAATAAAAAAAAAATTCTAAATTGTATATGGAACCACAAAATGCCCTGAATAGCCAATGCGATTGGAGCATAAAAACAAAGCTGGAGGCATCACACTACCTGACTTTGAAATATGCTACAAAGCTATAGTAAACAAAACAGCATGTTATTGATATAAAAACAAATACATAGACCAATGAAACAGAATACAGAGCCTAGAAATAAACTCATGTATTTACAGCTAACTGATTTTTGATAAAGGAACCAAGAACATTGGGGAAGGGCCACCCTCTTCAATTAATGGTACCCAGTGAAATGGATATCAATACACAGAAGAATGAAACTAACTAGACCCCTATCTCTGATCATATGCAAAAATCAACTCAAAATGGATCTTAAAATGTAAGACTCAAAAACTACAAAGCTACTAAAAGAAAACATAGGGGAAATGCTTCAGAACATTGGTCTAAGCAAATATTTTATGGGTAAGACTATAAAAGCGCAAGGAACCAAAACAAAAATAGACAAATGGGACCACATGAAACTAAAAAGTCTGCACAGCAAAGAAAATAATCATCAGAGTGAAGAAATAACATGTAGAATGGGTAAAAATATGTGCAAACTATATGCCCAACAAAAGACTAATAGAAAGCATAAACAAGAAACTCAAACAATTTAACAGCAAAAACCTAACAATCTGATTTTAAAAATCAGCAAAAGCTCTGAATAGACATTTCACAAAAGAAGAAATACAAATGACCAACAAGTGTATGAAAAAATGACCTAGGCACCCTACGCTAATGATATTATTATATCACTAATAATCAGGGAAATACAAATAAAAACTGCAATGAGATATTATCTCACCCCAGTTAGAATGACTATTACTAGAAAGACAAAAATAGCAAATGCTGGCAAGGATGTGGAGAAAAGGGAACTCATACACTGTGGTAGAAATGTAAATATGTACAGCCACATGAAAAACAGTATGGAGGCTTCTCAAAAGACTAAAAATAGAAGTACCTAAGATCTATCAATCCCACTACTGGATATTTATCCAAAGGAAAGGGAATCAGTATATTGAAGAGATGTCTGCACACCCATGTTTATCATAGCACTATTCCTAATAGCCAAGATATGGAATCAACTTAAATGTCCATCAACAAATGGAACAATAAAAAAATGTGGTTGAAATACTATTCAGACACAAAAAATAATAAAATCCTGTCATTCATGACAACATGGATGATCCTGGAGAACCTTATGTTAAGTAAAATAATTCAGGCAGAGAAAGATGAATACTACATGTTCTCATTCATATGTCGGAGGTAAAATAAAGTTAAGCTCATAGGAGTAGAGACTATCAGAGTCTTGGGAAGAGGAGGGGGAAGCATAGGGAGAGATTGATTAATAAATACAAAGTTACAGCTAAGAGGAGGAATAAGTTCTAGTGTTCTATAGAACTGGCAGGTGAATATCATTATTAATAACTTATTGCATATTTGCAAAAAGCTAGAAAAGAGAATTTGGAATGTTCCCAATGCAAATAAATAATAAATGTTTGAGGTCCTGGGTATGCTAATTACCCTGATTTGATCATTACATATTGGATTCTCATATCAAGATATCACTCTGTATCCCATAAATACGTACAATTATCATGTGGCAACTAGAAATAAAAGGAAAAAAGATTAGTACAAAAAAAGTAAATAAATAGGTAAAATAAAATAAAATGAGGCCAAAAAAAAAAAAAAGAATCGAATGCCTACATGTGCCAAGACAAGAAAACACTGACCAAGTATATATGCCTAGGACGTCCCTGAATTCTGGTTATCTAGAATCTACTTAAATTGCTGAAATGAACATCTCCTAACTATTAACACTGTTTCCCACTACAAGACAGTGCTGATTTAATTCTGAGTTCTCCTGTGTTTTCCTAAATATGCCTGAAAACCCTGTTTAGTGAAAATTAAGAACAATTAAATATCCACAATCCTCTATGTTTCCCCACAACCCTGATATAGATCCCTGGCCTCTGTGGTGAGCAGTTTAAAAACTTTGCTTTCAAATTTCCTCTTCTCTCTACCTCAATAGGAGAGGAGACCTCTGGTCAAAATCAAAGACTGCTGCTTGGTCACATGTTCTAGAAACAAAGATTTCAAAGGATTTAAAAAGTGATTCTCAAATTTGGTTATTATTAGAATCACCTGGGAAGTTTCTTCACATATTATGAGAACTTTATTTTATTTAGATCATTTTGAACCTCTCTACTTCATTCCTGGGAATTCTTGCCCCATACTTGATCTGCTTGATTTGTTGTTTTTGTTTAAATAAACTTTTATTTTGGAGTAATTTTAGATATATAGAAAGGTTGCAGCAGAAATAATGCAGATTTCCCATATATCCCTCACCCAGTTTTCCCTTATGTTATTATTTTATTTTATTATGGTGTATTTGCCAGAACTAAGAAACCAGCAATGGTGCATTACAATTAACTATAATCCAGACTTTATCCTGATTTCCCCAGTTTTTCTATTACACTCTTTTTCCATTCAAGGATGCAGTCCGGAGTACCACACTGCATTTAGACTTTATGTCTCTCAGTCTCCGCTTGTCTGTAACATGTTACCAGTGTTTCCTTGCTTTCCTTAACAGCTTTAAGGAGTACAAGTAAGTATTTTACAGAATGTTCTTCAACTTGGATTTGTCTGTTTTTCTCATAATTAGACTGGGATTGTGGGTTTATGGGAATAGTACCACAAAGGCGAAGTGCCTTTCTCATCACATAACACCAAGGGATCCATGATGACCACATGGCATCGCAGGTGATGTTAACCTTCAATCTTCATCACTTTGTTAAAGTCATGTTTTCCAGATTTCTCCACCATAAGTTACTATTACATTTTTTCCCTTTTCCTACTTTATTCTTTGGAAAGAAGTTACAAAGTCTAGCCCACCCTAAGGAAGATGAGGGAAAATTAAGCTTCATCTCCTGGGAAGGGAAATATGTACACAAATTATTTGGGATTATTCTGTAAGAAATGTTTGTCTCGTTATCCCTATTAATTCAGTTATTTATAATAGTATGGACTCATGTGTATTCATTCACTTTGAGTTGTAACACAGTACCACATTTTTAAATTTTATTGCTCAAATCTTTTCAGTTTTGGCCATTAGGAGTTCTTTCGGGTTGGTTCCTATGTCCCTTTGACATAATGCCATCCTTTTATTTTTTTGAACACTGCCTTAGTTTCTCATAGCACAAGATGCTTCCGGTTCATCTTGAATTTTTCATGCCCTGGCACTAAAATCAGTCATTTCTCCCAAGAAACCTGGTTCTTTTGATTGGAAAATGATAAGTAGTCACCAAGATCTGGAAAGTGGGAATGCTAATTGCTGTTGAAGTGTCATTGCTGTTAGTACAGAGGTAGGTAATATATATTTGTATATTAGTCTGTATACACACACATATCTGTAATTGTTTCTGTATCTATTTGGGTTTGTGTGTGTATAGTTAAACATAAGTTCATACTGATGTCTTGAACTCTAATCCAGCTTACAAAGTTCGTTCTAGCCTTCCCTTCTTGCTGATCTGTAACTTCCCTGCCCCAGACAATGAGAAACCTGACTCACACCATGCATTGCCCATTTACTGATCTTTTTACTCCAGTATACAGAAAAAGCCATTTCAGAATTGTTAGTCCATACCCCACCTGGGGAAATTTTAAAGTGCTCACTGTACAAGATGTACCTGAGAGCAATTAAATCAATTTCTGGGGATGCAGCCCAGGTCTTAGAAGTCTTCAAGTTTCCCAGGTGATTTCAATGTGTAAACAGGCTGAGAACCTTTGGGTCAAAAGGTCAGCACATGTGGATAGAACTTTTCTTTCCCATCTCTCCCTGTTTACTTCCATGTGACTAAAATGGGGAGAGCTCAGGGCTGCTTCAACGTGGAAGGTACAGTGTTCAGTGTCCCTGGATTATATTCCCTTCTCTGCATCAGTTTGGCAAGCGAGAAAAGTCTCTTTTGGGCTCTGTCTCTGAGGCTTCAAATTCTCTGATTGGACTTCTTTTCCATGAGGGTGCATGATCTGATTCTGGCATAAATGGGGAAAACAGACCGAGCCTGCTTCACAGCCTGCTTAACTGGCTTCCAGG